TAGGTTATTTCAATCTTCCCCCACAGCACCGAAAATTTCCTGAAAATTTCCTAAAGATTTATTTGCAAACTTCGGAAACTTTAATTGCAAAGTTTAGAGAAAATTGTATAAAGATTTAAATGTCCAAAATGAATAAATGTTTGGCGTAAAACTTGACGGAAGATATAAATTAACTTTTCCAGAAATTTTCGACGCGAAAATTGAGTGAAGATTTAAATTAAAGTTTCGTGAAATGTTTGGCGTAAAAGTTGACTAAAAATTTAAATTAAATATTTATTAAAAATTTATACTGAAAGTTGAGTGAAAATGTAATTTAAATATTCAGTCAATTTTTGTGACGAACATTTCCTAAAAATTTAAATTAAATTTTCAGAAAATGTTGGACGAAAATATTTGTAAAAAATACAAAAATAATATTTAAGAAGTATTAATATTATTATTAATATTAATAATAATAATAGATAGATAGATCTTTATTATTATTATTATTATTCCGCATTCCAAGGTTATGTGGGGTTGGTTAAAAAAAAAGAGAAACACTAAACAAAATAAGCTGGCGAACTACTACCAGCCCCGACCCACTAAAAACCCGTCAACCCTTCTTGGGAGCCCTTTGATCCACCCTCGGTACTGTCGTGAAGACTTTTGCCTTCGAGGGTGGCGCTCCAACTCTGTTGCACAAGCGACTTTGTCCATTCCTGCGGACATCCTGCGTTATCAATTTTAAAATTAAACTAGAATCAATGTCAAGCGGAATCAACAGCACACCATAAAAGAAAACAATAAAAAGTCAATAAATAAAATAAAAAGTAAATTAAACAAAGTCAAAAATAAAATTGTAAAAAGACAGATGAACAAACAAAATATAACATAAAACTGTAAAAAGACTAAAATAAATAAACAGAAAATTGGAAAAAGACATTAAAGGACAAAATAAATAATAAAATGAACAAATAAAAATAAATATAAAATGGAATACTGTCAATTTCGCCTATCTGCGGCCATCGAGATCCTTTCTCATCATAACAGAGATGATAAAGGTCTCGATGAGCCGCCAGTTTTCCTGGGACTGGATCATCAGCGCTACCATGTTCTCCGGTGTAACTGTCGCGTTTACACCGGTAAACATGGCCTGCCTTTCCAAGTCCCATTGACTGCAGGCAAAGAGGGTGTGCTCTGCGTTGTCCACAGGGAACTGGCAGTAAGCACACTCCTCACTCTCTCTCTTTTTAAAGCGCTGCAGGTACGAATTAAAACATCCGTGACCTGTCAGCGCTTGTGTCAAGTAGTAGGAGACCTCTCCATGGCTCCTACTTAACCAAGTGGCAAGTGTCGGTATAAGGCGATAAGTCCATCGACCTTTTACCTCCCCGTCCCATCTTTGTTGCCATTTTTCGACGAGCCTGTGCCTCGCTTCGAAGCGGATGCGGTCCTTGCTGGGTCGATCTTCCTCTTCAGAGGAATTCGCCTCTTTGAGAAGGAGGATAATTTCCTCCCTCTCAAGCGCCAAAAGATCTGCTGGCGGGACACTTGCAAGGACCTGCACAGCGCTCGTAGATACTGTCCGATAAGCAGAGGCAATACGTGAAGTAATGCATCTCTGCGCGGACAGCATCTTTACAGATGGTTGAACATCTGTTTGTTCTCAGGGAGGGGGCCCACGCTGGCGCTGCGTAAAGCAGCTTAGCGTGGGCGACACTCGCCACCAGTCTCCTTTTCTTCTCACGGGGGCCTCCAACATTTGGCATCACCCGTGCTAAATTAGCCGCACATTCGATCGCCTTGTTTGACGCCGTACCAGTCAAGCGATTGGAATTAATAAAATAGGAATCATGCCAAAAAAAATTACTGCTTTTTTAAAAAAGGAGAATCCTGACTCTTACTCAGGCCACAGCTTCCGCCGAACTTCTGCCACCTTGCTCATTGACGCTTGCGCCGATATCACAGAATTAAAGAGACATGGCCATTGGAAATCAACATCAGTAGCTGAAGGATATCTTGGAGAATCAATTTCGAATAAAAAAAGGACATTTTCTAAAATCACAGAGGCTATTGAAGTAGAAAGACCTGCCAAAACACCTGCGTCACCCTACTGAAAATCCCTGTATAAAATCTTGTACAATTACCTGTACAGGATCAGCAACTGAACTTGTACAAGTTCTGACCAGTTCCTGTACAGGAAAATGCATACGAATTTGGAACAAGTTCATGTGTGAGATCTTGTACAAGATCTGGTGCAAGATCTTGTACAAGAAAATGTACATGATCTTGTACAATTTTATGTATAAGTACTTGTACATGAACACGTTCATGATCTTGTACAATTTTATGTATAAGTACTTGTACATGAACACGTTCATGTTCTTGCACATGAAATAGTTGTAAAATTTTTTTTTTAATAAAATTTGAGATTTTGATAATTTTTAACCACTAAGATTCGTAACTCATGCATGCTAAAAACTATTGCGCAGCTGTAAAGGTTAAAGTAAGCCTTTGAAGTTTTTAATTTTTAGTAAAGGAAAACATGAATTAACATGTGCAAGAACATGGACGTGTTCATGTACAAGTACTTATACATGAAATTGTACATGAACATTTTCTTGTGCAAGCATCTTTCTTGTACAAGATCTTGCACCAGATCTTGTACAAGATCTCACACATGAACTTGTTACAAATTCGTATGCATTTTCCTGTACAGGAACTGGTCAGAACTTGTACAAGTTCAGTTGCTGATCCTGTACAGGAAGTTGTACAAGATCTTATACAGAGATTTTCAGTAGGGCAGTTAATTCTGATAATACACCGAGATTTCACTCAGCTTCAGTTCTTAGTTCAACTTCAGGGGAAAAAGATATTTCGTCACTAATAAACAATTATGAAAATTGAAAACAATGCTTTAAACCACCAGAGAAACGCTAATTGTATTTATAATTTACACAATTGCACGGTAAATAGTGTTCATAAAAGTGTATAATTAAAAAAAAAATCTAAATGATCGAGAATATTTTTTGTTAATGTTTAAACAATTTTAAATGAAAATTTATGTCATAAATACAGACACAGTATTTTTAACTTTGTGATATAAAAAAGAGAAAAGTTATGTTCTGTGAAATGTACGTATATATAAAAATGTACATTTTAAATACGTAAGAAATATAAATATTTTGTTGTGAGATTATTGACAACTTAAGTTGGTTGTCATCTATTTTTGCGTATTTCAAATAATAAATTTTTGATAATAATTATTGTTTTCACTTATTTACATAAAAGCAGATATTTTAAATATATTTAAATAATTATTTATTGACCAATTATAGGTTCTATATGTTAAATTCTAGTTTCTTTAGTAAAAGCATTTAAATATCATTTAGTTTGATTCTGCTACAAACGAAGAGGGGGGCTTTGCCCCCCGAACCCCTAGTCTCGACATATGCACTTAAAAATACGTAAAAAATAGGTATAAATATTTTGTCAAAAAATGAATATTAATTTTGAATATTTTTTTTTAATTCATATTTTTGTGATTTAATTTTATGCATTATTATAATTAGTAAAATTTTGGTAATAAAAAGTGTTTTCATTTATTAAAATATGAGCTAAAGTTTATAATTCTTCAAATATATATAATTTATTTACTTGTGTTATTTATGTGTGTTAAATTTTAGTTTCTTTTTTTAGTTATAACATTGAAATATCTTTTGAATTGGTTTTTTGGTAGTCCAACGATTCATGTTTTTTAAAATTGTTGATTTTTTAAAATAGTTAATAATTTCGTAATAAAGTTTAAATAAGTATAACTTTATATTTAGAATATTTTCAGAAATTACATAAAAATTTTTAACTAAAATTATAAAATAAATAAATAATGTTTAGGCTTTAGAAAAGTCAATAATTTTGTCATAATTTATAGTAAAATTTCTCCAATAAATTAATCGAAACTTTTTTAAATGGTAAAGATAGGGTGAGTGTACCAATTACGGCGCGTAGATAAAAAAATTATTATTACTATTATATTTAATTTAACTGTTGCAAAATGATTTAAAAAAATTATTTTAATCTTTTTTTGATACAATTACTTATAAAGATGCACATTTAAACAATTATTAATTTAATTATTTGAGATCAAATTTTTTCCCTCGCCGTAATTGAAACATTTTTAAGATTTCCATTGGCTTCAATTACGGCGGGCAAAGTATCTTCAAAATACACGTAATTTTTGTCACTGAAATTGATGCACCAAAACTGATATAAACGCGCCGTAATAGAAAATTACGGTATTAGTTTTAATTTCTCATATTCGTTTAAATAATCGATTTTTATAAAGTTAAAATTTCTTTTTAATATCTAAATAACATAAGCTTTTAGTTTAATAAGTCTTTAATTGACTATATACAATAGAAATGTCGAATTTTCTATTTCAGAGGTATGTTGACTCGAATCGCGCCGTATATTAGTACATTTACCCTAGTTTTGAAAAGATTTTTTTAATAAATACTTTAAATAACTTGTTTGATAAAATATTAGTAGTGTATTCGTCAATAGGTTAAAAGATGAATTTTACAGAGAAAAAAATAATTTATTTGATTCAAATAATTGGTTACTTGACTATTATCAAATAAATTTATATTTGTATCAAATAATTATTATTTCAACCAATATTTTAAAAAATATTTGATTTAAATCATTATTTAAATATAAATGACTCCTTGATTAAAATCATTGCAGTCCTGACAACTAATACAAAATAAATATTAAACAAATTGTGAATATTTTATGTATAAGTCAACTGTAAAAAGAATTTAATTGATTGAAAGAATGAGAATATATTTTAGAAAATAATTTATAATTTTCTAAATTATTTTCTATAATAAATTTTAAACATAAAAAATTGTATTTGGCCGAAAGTTCATTAATAGCAAAATTTGTAATTGTATCTGAAATATGTATGAAATTTGCAAGAGAGTTCGGATCGAAAATGAATTAATTATTTTTGAACGTACCTCCTAATATGATGTGGCCTATGAGCTCGTTCCGACCAATGTTGTCAAAATCCATAACCATAACGTCTAGGTAACAATCTCTAAATTTATCCCATGTGAGATCAAAGTTAAACGTCTCGTTGAAAACAGGATTCAACGTGCACTTAAATATTGGCGTTTTCTTCTTTTCTATTTTCTTCTCAGCAACGTACAGCCACACTTTTACATATGGATCTGAAAATAAGTCAATCAGAAAACTTTAGAAACTATGACAAAATGTTTCTTTTAAACTTGCATAAATTAAAGGACATAAGAACTTTTGATTTGATTTTAATTACCCCAGACTTATTCGACTATATAAAGTTGGCGTGTAATTAACATGATTTCGATTTACCTTAATTAAACGCCAACTTACACATACACACTTTTGCTTTTCTAAATAAAAATAATTGTTTCTAAATTAAAATTCCATGTAAATGAGCTTTAAATTAATTTTTAATTTACTTTATTGGAGAAAATTACTTTAAATACTAGTTTCTGTAATGCGAGATCAGTGAAAATATTTTTTTCCTTTACTCTTGTTTCAGTAAAACAATTTCAATTCTTATTAAAATTTAACAATCAAAAATTTTGTCAAGTGTGACTTACACTCGCTCACCTGGGGTTTCGTTAATGATTAAAAAATGTTTATTTTTGATTATTTAATATTTTTAAGTTTTTAATAAATTTAAACTTAAATTATTCCACAAGCCTGCTGCAAATTCAAACTTTTTTTCGTCATAATGAGTTCGACTAGGTGTTTCTAAAGGGAAATTTTGCGCTGAACACGAATCTGGCGTTCAAAATGCTCCATCAAGTCAACTTTTTTTAGAAAAATGGGGTGAAACCCTTAAAATCAGCATTTTTGGCACTTCTTTAAAAATCGTGGGCAAAATCCTGGCGTGATAAAAATTTCTCTATTATCAGAAATTAAAGTTTAATTCGTGCCCTTTCAAATGACTTCTCAGCCAAATCATATGCTTCAACCCTTCAAGCAGGGTGTGACTATTTGTGCATCATAACGAAAGTTTTGGACTTACATTTCGTTAGCCTCAAGTCGAATGCACGCAACTTTCAGAGACATTTTGGAAAGTATACGCAACTTCCACAGCCGTTTTGGAAATCACGTAACTTTGTGGTGCAGAGCAGAATGTACGTAACTCTGAGAAACGTTTGGAACTCGCTTATGTTGGTTTTTTGTGTTTTTGCAAAATAAAAATTACAATATTTCTGCTCGAAACATAGCAATAAAAAGTGTAAGGCAATGTTCAATAAAATCTCAATTATTTAATCTACAAGCATCCTATGTTATGTTCCGAGCAGAAATATTGTAATTTGTATTTTACAAAAACACAAAAAACCAACATAAGTGAGTTCCAAACGTTTATTCTGCTCTGCACCACAAAGTTACGTGATTTCCAAAACGGCCGCTGTGGAAGTTACGTACTTTCCAAAATGTTTCTGAACGTTGCGTGCATTCGACTTGGGGCTAACGATTTAATCAGTTTTGATAAGTATTATTCCGAGGCATTCCAAAATTGTTGCAAAAATTTATTTCATTTCGAAGCTGAATTAAAATTACTAAAATTTAGTTTTGAATTGATTCAGAATGAAATGTCTGGATACAGAAGGATCAAAATTTGAATAATACTTAATCTGAAAGTTTCGTTAGGGGCCGTCCATAAACTACGTTACCAATTTTTCATTCTTTTTAGCCCCTCTCCCCCCACGTTATCATTAAATGTATTTTTTAGACTTTTTGACCCCTTCCCTCTCTAAAGTAGGTAACATAGTTTATGGACGGCCTCTTAGGGCAGTATTGTTTATAGAATGTAGGCATTTCTATCCACTCAACTTGTCCCTTTAGTCAGTCCTAAATGCACGCGTTTAAAAATGATACGCGCGATTTAAATTTAAATAATATGAAGTAAGACAGAATTATTGAAATACACTCACTGATTTGATATCATTTGCCAACAAAGTGTCGGAGTTTCTGATCAACAAGTTTTAAACTCGCTGTTGGTTTTAAAAACTCCCCTCTCAACACATCAACTATAATTGTAACATCTATTTATCTTGGTGTAAAATCGTCTGAACCCTTGTATCTGATCAATCTGTCTTGTGTTCGTTAATGTGACTTCTACTTAACCCATATTATCTCTATTTCTCTCTACGCTGGAATTGTTGATGTTATCTTTAATTACTCCGAGTTTAGTACTCTGAGATCTACAGATTCTTTTAGCTTCCAGACTCCGGACCAACTATGTCAGTTTTCTGTATGGTTTGTCTATTTTTCAAAAGTTTTTTATTTCATCGATCTTAATTAGGAGTACTAATCATTTTGGGGACCCAGTATTCATTTATACATGATTTACCAACATAGTATAGGATATTACAATTTTTTCAATATTTTCAAAAATGTAGTGACAATACCCAAAAAATTATGGTTTTTACATAGAAATTAAATTTTTAGGTATTGTCATTATGATTTTCGTAATCAGTGCATCAAAATACATTTATTATGACTCATCCTTTTTTTTAATTTTTCATATTTTACCCAAAAAACGAAAAAAAATCATAAATTTTTAAACTTTTTTTATGGTTTTCATCATAAAAATCAAATTTTTGGGTATTGTCACTAAATTTTTAAAAATATTGAAAAAATTGTTTCCCCACGATCGAACTAGGCTTAAAATTTTTTTAAAAGGAAGTAGTTTTTTTGAAAATTTTTTGAAAAAAATCGAGGGATACAAACAGTTTTAAAAACAAGATTTTAACCTTTAAATTACAAATAATATAGTAAGTTTTAATTTTATAATTTTTTGCATTAAATTTTTGAAAAGTTATTCATAAATTAATTTCTATAAACAAGTTTTCCTCCAAGCAACAAATTACTTAACGACATTGGAGTTTTCCATATATAAACGTTAATATTGACTTCGGGTTTGTACCGCCAAAGCGAAACGATGGAGGGTTTGGGGCCTGCTGAGGTAACGTTTACTACCATGGTAACGGTTGCTATGGAAATGGTTACTATGAAAGTGGTTGCTTCCATAGCATGGATCCATCCATGGATGGACGGATGGATTGATGGATGGATGGATGATTGCTATGGTATCTGTTACCATGGCTACCATTCGAGTGTACGACGGACGGACGCCAGACCGAAACTATAAAGCTTTCGGCTCTGGGCCACGAAACTCTAAAAATCACAATTATTGTCTTAATAAACAAGCGCTTATTTTATACAGTGAAACCTACTCTACAATTGCTTATATATTTTAATATTGTCAAAAATAAGTTGTAAAAAAAATTATTTACTAAATAAAATTTCAATTATTTATAATTTTTTAACAACTTACTTTTAACAATATGTATAAAAATATAAGCGATTGTAGAAAATGTCTTATTAAATAAAATAACCTCTTGTTTATTAAAATTAGACAAAAATTGTGATTTTTGTTTGAGCTGAAAGAAAAAAAAATTATTTAAAAAAAGATTTTTAATCAACATAGTTTTTCTGCAAAACGCATAACAAGATCTTCTAAAATTGGTTGCAATCAATTTTAATTATAATTTTCTTTGCGTTAAATTGTTAAAGAGGCACAACTATTGAATAGCAAAAATACACCAACTTTTTTCGAAAAATGTTCGTGCATTAAGTGTATGATTATTTCTTTTTTTTTAAAAACACATTTCCAATTTTTACAAATAAAAATTAATCTGAAAGTTTTCCCGAGTTATTGAATATATATTATATATGGAGTAAAATTCCTGTATCGACCTAAGTGAAAAAAAAAGTTGATCGGATCGGGCTGTAACTTGCACATAGTTTAGCCCTAGGGGTGAGTAATTTAACCACGAAATATTGTTAGGTTTTTTCAAAAACTGTCGGAGAGGGTTGAATTTTTTTGAAAAATTTAAACAGTGAATTTTTGAAGACTTGTAAGGGCTCGTTGGATGCGGAATTACGTCAGCTTTCATTTAGTAACGTCAGAATTACAATACCTTTATTCGTTTATAAAATATATAATTTTTTATTAACCTTAATAGTTCATTAATGAACTAAAAATTGTAAATATTATATAAGTAGATAAAAAAAATTTTGACATATGTTTTCCAAATGTTTTTTTGTGCTCTTTCGATTGGTAAAAAAAAAATTCAAAATTTGACCCCTTTTACAGAAAATCAACAATTTCTTTTACTTTTTTTTAAGTTCGGTCTTTTTTTTAAACTTATTTATTTTTTTTTGAAAGTTAAAAATGTGCATTTTTAGCTCAAAAAATATTGAGATGTCCTTTTTTGTTATTTTCGAGATATTAGTTAATTAATTAATTAATGTCAATAAAAATTTATATATTTTATAAACGAATAAAGGTATCGTAATTCTGAAGTTACTAAATAAAAGCTGACGTAATTCCGCATCCAACGAGTTCTGTATGAAGTACTTTGGGTTAGAAAATTGTTTATATACAATTGGCTAACATATTAATCATTACGTTTACTAAAAAAATTGTCATATTTTAAATTTGTCATTTAAAAGGACACAGTGCACGCACTTGTCGTAGGTCGTCAAAAAAATCAATTCTTAACACAACATAGGTATGAGCGCCCTGCATCTCCTGAAGATCGAGAAAAGTCAGTCAACTTTCCAAAAAGAGGAAATACTTCCTTTGCCTATAAGTGACAATGAGAATTCTTATAGAAACTACTATTTTCTAGTCAACCTCAAAATAATTTTTCGAAATCAATAATTTCAAAATTGAAAAAATTATATAAATACTCGAAATAGAAATTATCAACAATTACAAAAGTGAAATAATTACACCCCCAATCAGCAGAATGAAAATATTAGAAAAAGAACTGTAACAAAATCATGGTATGTTATAGATGACTGTAGACAAAGAGAATATAATAATCGATACAAGGAAGGTCAACACTCTTGACCTCTTACCTTGGTGGACCAGTGAAATGAACAAAACGTTCTCAGACCAGGCGAGATGGAATAAATGATAACAGAATCTCAAACAGAATAAATGTGCCCAACAATAAGAAGCACCTGGAAATATCGAAACTATTCAAATTAATTATACCTGTAATTTTTATTAACAATCTTTTAACACGACCTCACTTATTAAAGATATTCGTGTGGAACCTTCTCTACAAAAAATAAAGACTCCAAAACGAGATTTTTTATATTGAACATATTCAGACTTTAGAGAGATACTTTTGTTTATTACTGCCCTATCAAAAATTAACTACTGGGGAAGTACAACGCCAGTATTACCAGTAGTGGCGCGATATTGGTACCAGTACTGCGCCAGTAGTGAACTCTGATAATTTCTTAGTAGGGTGTTGCACACACTAGAAAAATAATGTATCTGTTGTGACGGGAAAATATTTCTTGACATTATTTTGAGAAATAAATGATCAAATATCCTAGGATAAGGGTTGGGGAAAAAAGGTCAATAACTCGCCCCTGTGACCTTACATCGATCTAAGCGCCAATAGTTCAATATATTGGCGCATTACCGAAAATCGTCGGGTCCGTTCCTCACTCTTTGTCCGTACGTCTAATGTGCTGGAGTATATCTCCTTGTTTGTTAAATTATAAGAAATTGTATTGAGTTGTTTGACCGATCGAATATTGGAATTATATTGTATTTAAAGATCGACATTAACCAAATTATATATTGTTGAACAAAATTGGAAAGAGTCGATATTTGATCATATTTGATCACACACAAGTAAGTGATTAATGTACCTTTTATTTTATTTTCTTGTAATAAACTCAATATTCCTGGAAGTCGCTTAATATTTTATTTTTATATTTTGTATTTGGGTTCACCAACTTCCCTCCCTGTGATCAAGTCTTTTGTTAATTTTAATTAATAAATTAACTGGCGTCCGCGTGCAATTAAATCTTTATTTTATTTTATTTTGTCAAATAGAGCCCCAGCAACTCTGAACCCGGTCGCGCTGGGTGAGGAATAATTTTAAACTTTGATCATTTATTTTAATTTTAATATATTTCTCGTAATAATAAATTATTCCGTCTCATTTGGCGCCCAACGTGGGGCGACGTTGGATTTTTTTATTGTAAATTTTGCCAATAATTTTATCTTAAAGTGTGAAAAGTAAAATTATAATTTATTTGTGTGAAAAATTTTGAAAATTAGAAAGTGCGAGTTTGAACGGGAAGCGATCAGAGTGTTTACATTTCTTTTGTGTGAGCGACCTTGACAGACTCAGGTCTAAACTTGCCTTATGTACACAGCGACATACTGGGAATAACGACGATTTATTTTAATAATTTTTTTTCGTCAATTTTGATTTTAATTTTATATTTTGTGTGAATTATATTTTGAATTGTTGAAATATTTATTTGTGTTTAGTTCGTAATTCTGTTGACAGTTGGACTGAATAATATATTGAACAAATTGATAATTTTGTCAAAATTTTTTTTTTTTTTGAAAGTCTACTTTCTAGAAATTTTGAATATTTTTTTTTATAATTGTTTATAACGAAATTTTATTTTTTTTTGTGAATTGACAAAAATTTCGTGAAAATTTTTTTTTTTGAAATTTTATTATTGTGACGTATATTTTAAAGTGTTGGACAAAGAGTCATATTTTATTTGTTTTGTTTCGATTAGATCTTGCTCTGTCGAAATAATAATTTTGATTTGACAAAATTTTCGTTGAATAAAGTTTTGTATTTTTGTTTTCGTGATCGTATCTTGTTACATCAAGAAAATAATTAAATTTGATGAAAATTTTTGTCTTGTAAAATTTTTTTTGTTTTTGTCCAAATTTTGTCGATACAATATCTTGCTATTGTCGACAATATTATTGGAAAATTTTTTGTCAAAATTGTTAGAATTTCTGCGTCGATCGCGAACTAACTTTTTGAAATATTTTTTGTGTTTGTTTAAATTGTTGGAAATTTCACGTTGATCGTGGGCCAGCTTTTTGAAAGTTTTAAGTGTAACATTCAATAGAACTATGCCGATTCAAGATCTTGCTCTTGTCGATGTTTGTTAGTTTTTTGAATGTTGCCATTGTTGCTTTGAAATTTTTTTTGTATTGTCAAAGTGTCGAAATTTTGCGTTGATCGTAAATCGGCCTTTGAAAATTTTAAGCGTAATATTCAATAGAACTTTGCCGATTCAAGATCTTGCTCTTGTCGATGTTTGTTAGTTTTTTTTGAATATTGCCATTGTTTTATGTTTTGCAAAGTATATCTTCTGCTTTACATATAGGTATTTTGATCAAGATAAATTGCTTGTATTAAAATTTTTTTTGTGTGTTCCGCAAAGTATATCTTCTGCTCAACATACGTATATTTTGATCAAAGTATTTTACTTGTCAATAAGATCTTGCTCTGCTGTCAAGTAATCTTTTTAATAAATTTGAAAGATTTTTTTTCTCTCGCGGTCGGTACTATTAATTCAAGATCTTGCTCTTGTTAATAGTTTTGTCGATTGCTTGAAGAATTGTTATAATAAATTTTTTTTAAAAATATTATAACTTAAAATTTTTTTTTTAAAAATATTATAACTTAAAATTTTTTTTTAAAAAATATTATAACTTAAAATTTTTTTTTGGTATTTAGTTCTCCTCATTTTTGTTTTGACAGTACAAGATCTTGCTCTTGCTCACAGACTAATTGTTGAGAGAGAATATTTAATTTTTTTATTTATATATTAATTTATAATTTATTTGACTTGTTTTCATTAATTGTTGTTTATAACTTATAAAATTTTTTTTAAATTGTCAAGTTATTGATTTTTTTTGAACTTAACAATTATTATTAAGGCAAAGTTCTATTTTATTGTTTTGAGTGTATTGTCGAATATTTATTATTGAACAACAATTTTTTTTTTGTTTATTATTTTAAAAGGATCGGATAATATACCTCGAACTTTTGTGGGACTTGTCTTTAAAAATTTTTATTATTAAAAATTTTTTTTAATAAAAGCAATTTTTTTTTCTAAGCTTTTATTTATTTATCAATAAGAAATTTTTTTTTATTCGGTTATCGACTTGGCATAACGTAAATTTTGCTTACAATGACGTCAATGTTTATTTCCCCCCCAAAACGAAATCCAAATAGAAATCAGTTGTTAAGGGAACAAAATAATACAACTGATAATTTAAGATCAACTGAACAAGTTTCAAGTGGACATTCGTCAAATCGGGAAATTGAAAATCCTCCTTTGGAGACCCTTACAAACGCAGGCGCGATAAATTCGGGAGATCAATTTGATCAAAATCCGGGAACTTCAAGACCGTCATCGCAGAATAGTGTAGGGAGTTTTCACGGTTTTTCGATGCATTCGTCCATTGGAAGGGGAAGGGGTAAAACGCCACCGTTGTATATTACGTCAACCATGCATCGAAGAATGGATGCATTGGAACAGGCTTTAGATACGTTAACTGTCAAATGTAACACCGTAATTGATCTCGCAACTAATCAGGGTAACTTACGCTCTGAAGGGGGAGGGACGCGAACAAATCAGCAATCCATTTCTTCCGATGAAGAATTGAATGAGTTAGATACGCGTCAAAATAAACCTCCAGTTACTCCTGAGGTTTTCGATGATCAAAATATTGGTCCAAATCGCGAGAATGGAACTTTGTATCCTCATGAAACTCAAGTCGGGGATGAGTCTAGACGCGTTCGTTTCAATAGCGATCCTGGTTTTTCGAATGAGATTCCACAACCAGCGGGCAATGAAATTAATAACGGTCGAAATATTCCCCTACGTGCAGGAATAAATAATAATAATATCGTTCCTCCGCGATTAATAAAAATAACAATCGGCAAACCTCTGGCCGACGGGACACTTATAGACGAAGAAGTTTACGTGACTGAGGAACAGTACCGACAAATGTTAACATCTTCTCAGGGTGATGTCATGCGGGTCGGTGGTGGCAATTTTAATTTCGGTTACCCACGTGATTTGAATCCGTCCCGTGATAGAGAAAACACAGTAGATCGTGATTCGATAGGACCTAATGCCCGTAGGGTAGGTTCATTATTTTCATGGAATGATAGTGATTTTAGTGAGGATGATCAACAAGTACGAAATCGTTTTTCGTCAATTGATCAATCAAGATCTGTAGGTCATTTGTCAAGTAGACCGCGGGATGGTTTGAATTCCTTACATCCGCAGCCTCGTGCGGAGAATTCGAACGCTATTCAAATCGGTCGAATTGTCAATTCATGGAAAATTTCTTTTCCAAAAACAGAAAAAGACCCAGAGCAGTTCTTGCTAATCCTCAAAGACTATCTGAGTACGAGTGGAATAGATCGGAATCTGTTTGTCCCCTGTCTTTCAAAAATATTTGAAGGATCGTACAGATCTTGGTACCTCGTAAACAAGAAAAATTGGCGTTCATGGAAAGATTTTGCTCGTGCGTTTCGCTTTGAGTGGGGCGTCAAAAAGGATGACGCCGATCTCCTTCTCGAGGTTCGCGATTTAAAAGTCGACAAGGGAGAGAGTTTAGCCGAGTTTGCATGTAAAGCGCGTCTTGTTTTTGAGAGAATGCAATATCCCCCAGGATTTAGGGAGAGAGTTTAGCCGAGTTTGCATGTAAAGCGCGTCTTGTTTTTGAGAGAATGCAATATCCCCCAGGATTTAGGGAACAGTTAAAACAGATCTTGTCTAAATTTAACCCTCGTTTAACATTTGAAATTTTGAATTTGTCATTAAAGAATTATCGGGAATTCTTGCACTATGTCAATGAGCGTAATTATATTTACAATCGCTCAGCAGACGTGCAGAAAATTAGATCGAAACCTAGGTCGGACTTGTGTGCTGTTCGAGACGAAAGTGATTCTGACAATGAACAGTCAACTGATGCTTCTGAAGATCATTCTGATAGTGATCAAGAAGTTGGTTTAAATGCTGTTTATGGTAGGGAATCCGATCGCTCAAAGAGCAAGTCTGGGTTACGGAATACCCAATCCATTAATCGACAAAAACTTGATCAGAATTTAAAGAAATTTGAAAAGTCAAGTCATTCGACTAAGACAAATACACAAGATCAATTATCGCGTGATAGTAGGGAACCTTCTAAACCATTGGATAAAAGTAGGTTTTTCTGTCAAAATTGTGGTCAAACAGGTCACACAGTCCCCTATTGTAAAACCAAACCACAACTGGTTTGCTGTCTTTGTCGAAAAACAGGTCATTCCAATGTAGATTGTCCCGATAATCAGGGAAACGACAAAAGCCCTCAGTAGTTGAACCTCCAATTATTGAACCAAAGGGCGTACTTGAGGAGGATAAGAATTTTAATTCTTCATCTAATATAGGTCAGACCAAGGATCTTGATAAGACTTGTTGTTTTTCGACGAGCGTTGAATTGACTAGAGGATCAGATGACATAGTCTCTCGGCTTGATACCTCACGTCAAGCCGTGATTAAACTTAGTTTGTTTGATAGTGACTCGGTTAGTTCTTCTGAGTCAGAGAATGAGTTTGATGACTTGGTTTGCGAAGAGTTAGAAAATGAAATTGAGAATTCCATAAATCTGTCAACTATTTATTGTGATCAATTAGAAGAGGGCGCACCTTCGAACGAAATTGATCACGAGGCGATAAGGAATTGGAAACCTTTCGGATTGCCGTCTCACGTGGTGCATCGTCTTGCCCAGAGGAGGGTATATTGCCCTTGCGATTCTCTTTCAGAACCGGTAAAAACTGTCAGGATCCCGGTTACGGTTTCCATTTTTGGGGAAAAGATTTTGGGTATTATAGACAGTGGTAGTGAGAGATCATTTCTGAGCGAAACAGCTTATAATCGCGTGAAGCATTATCAGGTACAGGACTTGACTCCTGATTCTTCTTCTGAGAAGGGAGTTAGGTTAGGTGATAGATCGGTGGTCAAAACTAAAGGTGGGACATTATTTGTGATTGACATAGGCGATGTTTATGGACCTCAGTGGTTCAGTATCTTGCCGGGGTTATCAAGTGATTTGATTCTTGGAATGGACTTTTGGTTGAATTTCAAAGTCAAACTTGATCCTTTTGACAGGAGTTGGAGTTTAGCAGGTGGTAAACATGTCTATTCATTATCGCATCGTCGCACAGGTTCTAGTTTTCTTCAGAGTCTTTCGACAGATGAATCAGGGAGATTGAAGAATTTTCTTGATGAGGAATTTATAAAATTTGATAGAGAGAGTACTGGTTTGACTGATTTGGTTGAACACGTAATTGAATTGGAAGATAGTATTCCACATCGTCAAAAACCCTATCGAAGAAGTGAGATCGTTCGGAAGTATTTAGAACAGGAAGTTGATCGTTTGTTAGAAAAAGGGTATATAAGATGGAGTAATAGTGATTGGGCCTTTTCGCCAGTCGTTGCTCCGAAAGCCAATGGCGGATTGAGGTTTTGTATTAATTATCAACCCCTCAATCGTAAAACCAAAAAGCCAGCTTATCCTTTGCATAATATGAGATCAATCCTTTCGCAATTACATCAAGCTAAATTTATCTCGACTATTGACATGAGTGAGGCTTTTCATCAAATCCCTATGAATGAAGATAGTCGAAAGTATACTGCTTTTGTCGTTGAAGGGAAGGGGTTATTAGAATGGAATAGAATGCCGTATGGACTCACAGGAGCCCCATCAACCTTTCAAAAATTGATGGACACATTGAAAAGGCGTTTTCGTGATCTTCTTGTGGAAAGGAAACTCCCGAATAAGTGGGTTGATCAGGTATTTACCTATCTTGACGATTGGATCATTGTGACTGAGACTTTCGACGATCATCTCGAAATTTTGTCTCTTGTCTTTGATGTTTTTCGCGAGGCTAAATTGCAAATCAATCGAGAGAAAAGCGGTTTTGCCTGCAAAGAAGTTAAGTTTCTCGGATATATTGTTGACGAGTTGGGAATGAGACCCAATCCCGAGAAGGTAGAACCAATTATTGATTTTCCTGTTCCAACAGATAGGACTAAGTTGCGTCAGTTTAACGGTTTAGTTAATTGGTATCACAGGCATTTAAGGAATATCGCTAGGATACAGGGTCCATTAAATAAGCTTACTAGCGTCAAAGTTCCATGGAAATGGACAGAAGTTGAACAAAAATCTTTTGACGAAGTAAAGAAGGCTCTGATTAATGCTCCTCGTCTTTATGTTCCTCTACCGGGACAGCCGTTTATTTTATATACTGATGCTAGTGATTTTGGTCTAGGTGCGATCCTTGTTCAGAAGGATCCTGATTCTGGAAGGGAAATATTGATCGAGGTTTTGAGTCGTCCATTAAGAGGTGCGGAACTTCACTATACGACTACGGAAAAAGAATGCTTAGCAGTTGTTTGGGCTGTTGAGAAGCTTAGGTGTTATTTGGAAGGCATGCCATTTACCGTCATCACAGATCACCAGGCTTTGCAATGGTTGCATGGGCTCAAGAATCCTGTAGGTCGTCTAGCTAGATGGGCAATTTATTTATATCAGCATGATATGACTGTTGAACATCGTAAGGGTACTTTAAATGAGGCGCCAGATGCTCTCTCGCGTATGTTTGATATAGATGTAGATCCGTCTGGTTGGGAAAAAGTTGTAGAAGATGCTGTACAGGGTCGAATTCAATTAGCTTCGATTTGCGATCAGAATTGGTATGAAACCAAATTTGACTTAGTAAAGAATCATCCCAGTCGATTTGATGATTGGAAAATTGAAAATAACGAATTGTTCTATTTTCGTCCAGATTTCGAAAAGGCTGTGATCGATGATGAGAATCCTTGGAAGAAAGTAGTAAAGCCTTCAAATATATTGACAGTACTTCGTGAGAATCATGATTTACCTCAAGCAGGTCATCTCGGCTCACATAAAACTCTTGACAGAATTCGTCAAAGTTATTATTGGCCAGGCATGACGCAAGATGTCAAATCTTATGTTTCAGATTGCGAAGTATGTATCAAGGTAAAGTTTAATCAAAACCCTATTAAAGCTAGGTTAACTACACGATCCTTACGGTTACCGTGGGCTCAATTATCGATCGACACAATAGTGTCTCAAACTCGAACTAAAAAGGGAAATTCTGATATTATTGTCGTTCATGATTTATATACAAAGTTTATTGAACTGTTTGCGGTCCGACATCGAACAGGAAAAATTGTTGTCAATATACTTGACACCGTTTTCGATCGTTGGGGAATACCGGAGTCTATCGTGACAGATAACGGGAAAGAATTTATAAATAAAGATGTCAAAGCGTACTTATTGGCCAGAGGCGTTAGGCATATCACTACCCCGTTGGCTCACCCTCAGTGCAATCCGGTAGAGCGAGTAAATCGAACGATAAAACCTATAATTTCCGCTTATATAAATCAAGATCATAGAGAATGGGACGAGAATTTGTCTAAAGTACAATTTGCATGTAACACCGTACCTCATACTGGTACTCGCGTTTCGCCATTTTTCTTGAATCATGGTTATGAGGCTATCGCGAGACGAGAATTAAAATCAACCGACTGTGAGGTGGGTACTGACGAAATTGCTGATGACGCGACGAAGGCTTGGGTTGATCGCATGAAAATAATCGACGAGTTACGTCATAAAGTCGAAAGTAAATTGCAGAATTATTCTGAAAAGCGGCTTGCCAAGTCGAATGCCGATAGAAAACTGTCAGTTGAACTTGAGGTGGGAATGGAGGTTTATTATCCGAACAAAAAGCTAAGCAATAAGGCTGAAAATTATTCCTCTAAGTTGGCTCACCGTTACGTAGGTCCAGTTATTATTTCTAAAGTTTATGGTCCGGGTACAGTCCAACTGTCAGACAGAGATGGTAAAGTTGTTGGCAAATATTCAGTCTCTAATTTGAAAATACCACGTCGAAGTTTGCGATTGTCATGAAATTTATTTGTAGATCGATCAACTGCGCGCATTCATCTGGAGGACTGAGGTCATCACGAATTTGGACAGTTCAGGTCTGATTGGTTGCTTGTTGAGGGAAGGATGAGCAGAGATATGGCTGCGAATTTTGATCCAGAAGAAGCAGGTGATCTTGGAGAACAATGGGACAAACTAGTCCGTTGTAAAAAACAGATGGACGATCTGATGCGAGAAATGACTTTGAAGGTGTCTGACTTCAAGGGTCAAGATGACCAAATTGATCAGATCTTTGATGACAATGCTTCGCTTTTTGACGAGAACTTAACTTCGTCAAGTACAACGAGCGAGCGGCGCATTGACGAGATTTCTGCGGATGCTCAACAATTGATCAACGAGTTCCGTAATCGGAAACCACCCAAGATCGAGTTGACAAATACTGTCAGGGTGACTCCATTTGATATTCGATCAGAAAATAAGAAGAGGAATCGCATTCCTGATGTGAAGCCAATGCTGAGGAAGGATGGTCAGCAGATGAGGATGACCGATAGAACTGATTCTGTCATCGCTCCTTCGGTAAAGGTGGAACCTTTGCCATATACGATCAATGACATTCCAACTTTCCAGGATGTCATGAAGGAATTGGGAGTTCCGACTTTGGTTGATTCTGAAAATCAATTCCAGCCTCTTTACATGGTGGACTGCAGGATGCTGTCGGAAAAGCTGCTCAAAAATTTGATCACGAAGAGAGCTGAGATCTTTCTTAAAAAGATGGAAGCTAAGAAAGTTGATCGAGGTACTCAGACCTTTGTTTCTGTGACGGGCAAACAAAGAACTGCTGCGTGCGTGAACTGCAGGTCACGCGAGCATCGTTTCACGGAGTGCAAGATGCCGATGAGACCTGGATTTTGCTTGATCTGTGGAGCAGATGGATTCGAGACCATTGACTGCATATATCCTCATGGAGTTGAGCACGAGTTGGCTCTAAACAAATGCGTAGGATGCTCTAACGATCTGTGCATCTATTGTCCTGAATGTCCGGATTGCAATATTCGTTACGCTGGACTTGTCGACTGGCTTCGGTTGAACTACGTCACCTTGCCAGCTTGGGCAATACCATCTGATCATAAATATTTGATCAATGAGCATACGGAGGAGCAGCTTCGCCGGAAGATCAAGGCAAACTTTGCGAATCAAAACGATTATGTCAATCGTGTGAGGGCATTTTTGATCAGGGAGAACGCTCTTTCTCTTATCGAAAAACCAGCGAACAACATGACACCTTCAAAGAAAGATCTGTCGGAGGAAAAACGTCGCCAAGCTGTTCAATCATTGACGACCGAGTTTGCTGATCAATCTCTTGACGAGGTGATGGCTCTTCGACCTGAATTGTCCGATGGAGAGGAATACAAGGTCATCGTGCCAACTAAGTACAAGAAGAACCCCAAAAATTAGACATATAGACTGATCAAAGACTGATCTCGAAACGAGAGTACAAATTTTGTTTTAAATAACTTTGATCTTATCTTAATTTACATTTATGACTTATTGATCTGAACCAAAGCAAAAATAGTATTACTTTGTTTTACCCTTCTTAAAAGGAAAGTTTTATTTTTGATACTATAATTGTAATTTACGACGTAAGTTCTTTTCAATAAATAAAGAAAATTAAAAATCGACAACAATTATTAGGAAACTTCCAGGAATTGTTTTTTTCTTTTCTTGAAATAAATTTAGAATCAAACATGACAACTAATTATTTCTTTTCAGACATTAATCACTTTTATTTATTATTTTATTTGTTTATTTTATAAAATGTTTTGTTAATGATATTATTTACAGATTGTTTGAGTTATTTCAGATTCAGTTTTCTTTCTCAAACTAACGTCAAGTCCGAAGGGGGAGAATGTGACGGGAAAATATTTCTTGACATTATTTTGAGAAATAAATGATCAAATATCCTAGGATAAGGGTTGGGGAAAAAAGGTCAATAACTCGCCCCTGTGACCTTACATCGATCTAAGCGCCAATAGTTCAATATATTGGCGCATTACCGAAAATCGTCGGGTCCGTTCCTCACTCTTTGTCCGTACGTCTAATGTGCTGGAGTATATCTCCTTGTTTGTTAAATTATAAGAAATTGTATTGAGTTGTTTGACCGATCGAATATTGGAATTATATTGTATTTAAAGATCGACATTAACCAAATTATATATTGTTGAACAAAATTGGAAAGAGTCGATATTTGATCATATTTGATCACACACAAGTAAGTGATTAATGTACCTTTTATTTTATTTTCTTGTAATAAACTCAATATTCCTGGAAGTCGCTTAATATTTTATTTTTATATTTTGTATTTGGGTTCACCAACTTCCCTCCCTGTGATCAAGTCTTTTGTTAATTTTAATTAATAAATTAACTGGCGTCCGCGTGCAATTAAATCTTTATTTTATTTTATTTTGTCAAATAGAGCCCCAGCAACTCTGAACCCGGTCGCGCTGGGTGAGGAATAATTTTAAACTTTGATCATTTATTTTAATTTTAATATATTTCTCGTAATAATAAATTATTCCGTCTCACTGTATACAACACTAATGCATGCACCTTCATTTGTTAACATGAAAACTAGAAATTTTACAGATTTTTAAAATTATTTTCTACAATTTTTTGGTAAGGTTATAAAATTTTTAACATAAATGGTTTATTATATTAAAGATTTTCTAACTTCTAAAAACTTAAAATCATCTACTCTTTCGCACCCAGGCTAAACTGAGAAATGAAAAGAAGAAAACTAAAATGGTTCTTATAGTTTTTGGGGACGCTGATTGCGAATCCGGTGATAGTTTTCAAAAATTCAAAATGGCGTATCCAATATGGCAGAGAAAAATTTAAAAATCGTTTAGATTCTCCTGAAACTTATTGCTCGGGAGTTTTTGGAGTCGCTGATTACGATTAAAAATTATACAATTTCCACAAGATTAAAGTTTTCAATTAGCAACCTCCAAAACTTCTGGTAAACAAATGTTTTAGATCTAGTTATTTTTATTTAAAAAAATAACTGCGGATTTATAAACAGTTTTTAAACATTTACATTTTAAACATTAGTTTTAAAAACAATAAAAGTCAAAGAGAAAGTGAAAGTCGGGGGGTGGGAGTCAATGTCGATGTTGAAGTCAAAATGAAATTACATAATTGTACCCAAGGTAACTAAGTTGTCGTTGCAACATCCGCGATCAACAAGTCAAGTATCATCGAATCTCTGTTTATGTTGTAAAATCGCTGCTACTCTTGTATCTGATCAACTTGTCTTCTGTTCGACAATAGAACCTTTACTTGACCCACATTTTCTCTAACGCCAACAGTGCTAGAATTCTGAAGTGATCTTTAACTATTCAGAGTTCGGTATTTTGGTAACTACAGGTACTTTTATCTTGAATTCACTGAGGTTAATGCTTCTTTTTTTGAATTTTGTTTAAACTTCTGTTACAGATAGGCACTTCTTATTTTAACCCTCTTACACCTGTGGGACATATATATACCACTAACAAAAACCAAAGTAATTTTTTCAAATATTAATAGTTTTTAATGGGGTTAAGTTTATTTTTTTGGGAAGGATCAAAGTCTAAAAAAAATAAAAACAATAAATAAAAAATATTTTTAACATAAAAAAATAGCCATAAGTTTATGAAAATTACAATAGTTGTAAAATAAAATCATTTATCTCTCATACAGACGTACATGCTAAAAAAATTACGAAACTACCAAACAAAAATTTAGTCCCAAAAATAAAAAATGGTATATTCAAGAAAAAAATAAATTAATGTCAGTTTTAATGATAAAAAGTCATTTTTCTCATTTCACGTACTGATCGATTTTTTTCAAAATTTAAAAAAAACTACTTTTTACAAAAACTTTTAAGCCTACACGGAAAAATTTTTGGTGCATCAGATGCGCAATCTAGGGTAGAACTGTTGTACTATGGGTTGCGGGCAACTGTTATCCTGATTTGGCGCGTCAGAAGCGCTGTAAGGCCCTCTCCAGAATGGAGCTAAACGCGACGCATCGCAATGCTAAGCAGATGGGGATGCGTCGCGTTTGCGTTGCGTTTTTAAAGTACAAAAATTTTTTAACTGACCAGTACAACCGGTGCACCAAAATTTTTTCCGTGTAGCCCGATAATGGGCAAACGATTTTTACAATATTTTCGGAATTTTTCAAAAATTTTTGAATTTTTTAAAAATATTTTTTGTTTTTTCTTATTATATGTACTTTTATGTATTTTAATGCGCTGATAACGAAAACCAGTGACAATATCCAAAAATTTGATTTTTATGGTGAAATTTTATTTTACTTATGTATGATTTTCGAAGAATTTGAATTACTTTATTGAAAATAATTAATTTTGCAATTATATTACATTTTTTATATAAATATAAGTCGTATTTAATAGATTTTAGTATTAGGAATACATTTGTATGAAAGGGCTTTAGCTCGTTTATTATTAATAAATAAATAAATACGTTTTTAAATAATTCAATTTTGGAAGAAGTCGAAAAAGTCGTGCAATACGAGGCTTGTAGTTTTTTGGTTCAAATTTGGATTTTTATGAAATATCCCATTATTCGAGTTTCAATACAAAATAGAGGAAATGAGTGAAAAAAGGGTAAATATTCATACACCGAAAAAACAATATTCTAAAATTAAGTATTTCCCACTAACTTGAAGAATATCTTTCACTAAAATACGTGCCAAGAATATATTCTAGATGTTAGAGGGGATTCACCTAGTGATTGAGTATAAGGTATTCTTATATTCAGTATAATCATTTGAGAGCTATAATAATGATAATATTCTTGAATGAAGAATAGAATATACTAAATTTAAAAATAGAGTATTCTACTTATAAAAAATTAGAATATTGATATTTAACACAAAAATATACATTAAATAATGCTGAAAATAATGAAAAATATTTATTGCAGATTACCCTATTGAAAATCCCCACATGGGATCCTATGTAAAACCCCATTCCCCATATGGGAAACCATATGGTTTCAAATATAAATCCCCATGGGAAATTGGGACAGGAATTGGCATAGGAAAATATCAAAACGAGGTTCCTTATTTCCCATGTCATTTCCTATGTCAAATCCCATGTCAAATATCATGTTAAATACCATGTTAAATACTAATTGAGATCCTTTATCATTTTTTTGAAAAATTTTCCCATGTCAAACCCAATGTCATTTCCCAAGTAAAAACCTTTATCATTTATTTGAAAAATTTTCCTATGTCATTTCCCATGTGAAATCCTTTATCATTTTTTTGAAAAATTTTCCCATGTCAAATCCTCTTTCGCCTTATCGAAAATACCCACATGGGAAAGCATATGGGAATCCACATGGGAAACCATATGAAAATCCACATGAGACAGCATATGGGAATCCACATGGGAAATGGAATACGATTTCATGTGCATTCTTCCAAATGATAAAACACATAGATTTAAGCATAGGAAATCATATAAGATTTCATATAGATTTTGAAATTTCAACCTAAGATTTCACATGGATTTACATATAGGAAACGATATAGGATTTTTTTCGGGAATTTTTTAGTTAGCTGCTTTATGCAGGTGTCAGTTTACAAAAAAAAAAATAATTATTTGATTAAATATCAAATAATAATACTGCAACTCATCTTAAAATAAAAAAAAGTTTACTTTACATCTGCCTTAGACTCTCAGCTTTTATAGTATTCCAGACTGATCTTAACTGTGAGAGAAAATATTTTCACCATCTTGTGGCGAAACAATGAAACTATAATGACGATCAACATCTATATTGAAATTTCCTATGTCATTTCCCATGTGAAATCCTCTTTCATTTATTCGAAAAATTTTCCCATGTCATTTCCCATGTGAAATCTTTTATTATTTTTTCATAAAATTTTCCCATATCCCATATCAATTCAAAAAAATGATAAAGTTTTAAATTGGGAAATGACATGGGGTTTGACATGTGAAAATTTTTCAAAAAAATGATAAAGGATCTCAATTAGTATTTAACATGGTATTTAACATGATATTTGACATGGGATTTGACAAAGGAAATGACATGGGAAATAAGGAACCTTTTTTTGATATTTTCCTATGCCAATTCCTGTCCCAATTTATATGGGAAACCATGTGGTTTCCCATGTGGGGATTTTCAATAGGGTAAAAAAATAATTTTTTACATTAAATTTTAAATTATAAAATATGCTGAAAAGAAATATATGAGTTACAATCACCTCCTGTGCGAAGAAAGTAGGGGTTAAATGTTACGAGTTCGTCATATGACGCTAAAAACCACGTTTCTGTTGGAGAAATGTCGTAACGATCATCGAAACCAACAGTGCGTAATCCTGATAAAATAAATTGTACAATACCATTTTACAATTTCCATATTGACACTTGAAATAATATTTTTTTAATATTAATTTTACTCGAAACACTGAAAAAGTTTCACGCCGTACACGATACAAGTGGAAATATACTAAAATTTTTAGAATATATACTAAATAAAAAAATTTAGAATATTGTATACTTTATTTCAGAATACTTTTTTGTCCCATATAATAATTAATAATAATTAATAATAATTGATTTATAATTACATTATTTGTAAATTGCTATGGTTGCCATGGTAACGGATGGTATGAAAACGGTTACCATGGCAACCATACGATGGACTGATGGATGGACGGTTGCTATGGTATCTGTTACAATGTCAACCATATCAGTACGACGGACGGACGCCAAAGTGAGTGACTATAAGGCTTTCGGCCCTGGGCCACAAAACCCTAAAAATGGTGAAAAAAGGAAATTTTTTTAACAGAGGAAAAAAAGGGAAACACCGTGAAGCCTGTAATTCGGGTATAAATCTGTTAAGGCCCACCGTTATATCTCAACTCTAAAATAATTTTTCTCCTATATTTGTAATCTTATGATTTATGGTCCCTATTTTTAGTTAATTAAAATCTATCTTACCTGATTTGCCGTTGATATCTTTTGCTTTAAGGTTTCTTGCTTTTATGAGCTGTATGGTAAGTAGAGAATTAGAAGGGTGATAGCAGAGAGCGATCTGAATTTCGCCACATTTATCCTTTGCCGGCGGTTTAAGGGCTCTCCAGAATGTTGGTTTCTCTGAAAGGTCGACCTAGAAACAATTCGCAATTATAAGTTAAAATTATACATAAATTTAAGTTCAATTGTCAATTCAATTTTTCTTGAAAAAAGCAAAGTAATAATTTTTTTCTTAAATAATAAAATGAAAATTATTATTTATCACTATCAGTTTTGATAGCATTTTTGACATTTTTTTTTATTAGTAAAATACATTTCAAAGAACGTTTTTTGACCACAAAAAATTAATATGGAAGAAAAATTTAGTGAAAGAAACGATTTTGATAAAAAAAACATACTTTTTTAAACTTTTATTCCAAAAACAGTATTAAAGTTAGTATAAAAATTCTTTTTGGATATTGGTACATATTACGTGAAGATAATTAAAAAATTTTTTCTGAAGTTTATTTAGTTCATTTTCGCAGCCGTGGATAGCGTCTTGCAACTTTTATACTGTTTTTACAATATAAGTTTAAGAAAGTGATTTTTGTCAATTCTAAACCAGAAAGTACCTACCGTTAAAAAAGTCTCGACTTTTATCAAGAAAAAATTAAATATATTTTTTTATTATTTAAGAAAAAAATTATATCCCAAAACAATTTCCCCAGTACACAGAAAAAACCTGATCTCAAATTGAGTACAAAATTTATACTCGATTTGATACGCATCAAAAATGAAACTGGTTGTCTCATTTCGAGTGCTAAGGTAAAAGTATCAAAATGAAACAGGTAAGTTTCATTTTGAGAAGAAGAAAAATGGAAAAATATTGTGAAATAAAGAATAATTGTGCACAAATACATGAAATATAATAATTACAAAGAAGTAAATAACATGCTAGACTTAATATATTTGATTAAAAATTGGTTGTAATCGCGTAATAAAATAATAAAGGAAATATGTTTTTAGGTTAGAAAAATGAAAACATGTGTTTTGACAATAGGAACGGTACTACCAACTTAAATAATAGCGGTAAATTTAAAAACTTATGAAATTAATTATTATCTACGTAAATAATAATAAATAATTTTTATTTAAAAACTTCTAAATATTCGTACTGGTCAAAATAATCTTTCTGGTGTTGTTGAAATATTAGAAAAATTAATTGAAATACAAAATTACTCTGCTTATGATGCCAACTTAGAAATCTGAAATTCCAGCCAGTATCATTTAGAATAACATAAAGTTTGTCCCATACTCATTTCGATACCCAAAAGAAAATGAGTTGCAACAAAAATGAATCCAAGTTTTTTCTGTGTAAGTAAAAGGTTTAAATATGTAAAAAGGATTTTGCGAAGAATTATTATCGAATAAAATTACAAATTATTATTTGAGCTTTAGTAAAAAAAATTGTTCATCTCGATCACCTCATCTAAAATCCCCGAAAAATGAAAAAAATCTATTTTTGTCGAGTATGCTTAATCAAAACTGCACTTTGTATGAAAACCGATACGATTTAAAAAGTCGCTTACACTGACGGACACATGTGTTTTTCTCACGTAACCAGCAGTAAGCAGAAGTCTTTTTTACATTTCCAGTTATGGAATCTATTAATGGAATTCAAGCCAGGGGATGTACAATGTGATTTAACCTTGGGAAATGAATGTCTGTGTGTCGTAATGCCACTGGCAGGAATTATCCCAGATCAGGGTGAAAAGGAAGGTTGAATAACGATAAATGCATCCAAGCATCAACTTCATTCAGAATCTCATTTCTACTTCTCTTTTATTCTACTAATTAATCATTTTCACATTTTATTAATAGTTTTCTCATTATAATCAAAAATATAAATCTCCAATAAAAAAAAATATTCAAAATAAACATTTGTTTTAAAACTTATTAGGAGCCCACTTTTATGAAATCAATTAGAGATATTATTTTCAAAGTGTTAAATATTATTAAATTGGAAATTAAATTGAGGCATTTTGTAGCAAAATCGCATTGATGAAGTAATTAGGCTGGTTAAGTCACCAGTCAATAATTTCAAATTACCTGACATAGCGGCATAAACACTTCCCCTATAGAGTCATCCCGTGAAAATCGATCGTAATCGAAAACGTGAAGATGTAAAACTCTATTTTGCAATTTTTGGATTGTGAAACCTGAAAAAGTTTAATTAATATTTATTATTTTTAATACACGGTAAATATTTATTAGTAATAATAACACTATGCTTGAATCAAGAACTTTTTTTTAAACAAACTTGGCACCTTTTAGATAAAACTAATTCAAGTACAATGAATTCAATGGCGTTAGCCATTTCTCAAAGTTAGCATGCCCAAAAAAGTCGATTTACATTCCAGAAAAAGTTGAAAAATCGATTTTTTTATTTTAAGTAAATTTAATTATGTACTTAATAAATATTTTACTTTAAATAACTACTGTGTAATTAGATATTACATTCATTTTATTAATTCTTTAATAAGAATAATTCTATCCGAATATTATCAATAAAATTATCACAACAAATTTTACCATAGTTGAGGTAATTCTGAGAATCGAAAACAGTAATTAGGTTTTACAAATTTTTTAAATTAAATATTTTAAATAATTTAATTGCAGACGATTTTTAATTTAAAATAAATTTTCTACAAATTTAAACTATTATAGTTTTTTTTAAACTAAAAACAATTACATTTTTTAAAAGTAATTGAATTTTCAAAGATTTACAATTCAGATTTTTGACAACAATTGAACTTCAAATGATTTCTAATTGAAATTTTTAGTGATTTCTGTTGATGATGGATTTATATGAAATTACAGAAAAAATTGAATTTCAAAAGTTTTTAATTGAAAAATGCTTTCAGATAATTAAATTTTCAAAAAATATTATACAAATCATTAAAAATAATTGAAATTTTGAGTTACATTTGAAATGTTTAGAAACAATTGAATTTCAAAAGATTTTTTAAATTTCATATAATACCTAATCTACAGAAAGATTTAATAAAAAAAAAAATAAAATGACGATTATTTAGAACATTTAACCTAACTTTGAGAAACGGCTAACGCCATTGAATTCAGCGTACTCGAATCAAGTTTATCTGATAGGTGCCTAGTTTTTTCAAATTTTGAATTAGATTAGTACAATATAATAACCCAAAACATTTGAAATTTTTTTTGATTTTTTGAAAAAGTGCTGCTAACTGCGCACACGACTGAATTTTTATCTGTTTAATCAAGAATGTAATGAATTATATATCCTTTAAATGTTTAAATTGTAACTTAAATCAAAAGGTATGTCTATAATTTGGTAGTAAACTGTTCAAAAATGTTATGAATAGTCGGTGTTAGTTGTACTTGAACTTAATACAAGAATATTACCTAATTGCATTAAATGACAGCATTTTCCAGATTTATTAAGTGCAGCATTTAAATTTTGTAAGTTTTTAAATAAATTATGATTTTTATAAAATATATGCATTACTTCATTTTGTTAATAAAGTTGATAAAAATCACGAAAAAAAATTGTCCTAAATTTATCCCCCCTTAAGGGGACTTTCTGGTTTAGAATTTCAAAAAAATCGATTTTTTTTTTTTGCTTAAAAATGTTCCATAGTATCATAGAATTACTGTCCCAAAACGTTTTTTAAAAATATGTACAAAAACAAAAGTTATAACAATATTTATGACGGTATGTATTTCAACAACAATCTACAGTTATCTTATTTACATATTTGGTGTTCCTCTTTTATTGATATTAGCTTGAAACATGTTACTCGAGGGTTTTTGGGGTCGCTGATTACGAATTTGATGTCAGTTTTTGAAAATACAAAATGGCGGATCCAATATGGCGGACGAAAAAATAAAAATTCAACCGGATTTGCTTAAAACTTGTTACTCGGGGGTTTTTGGGGTCGCTGATTACGAATTTGATGTCAGTTTTTGAAAATACAAAATGGCGGATCCAATATGGCGGACGAAAAAATAAAAATTCAACCGGATTTGCTTAAAACTTGTTACTCGGGGGTTTTTGGGGTCGCTGATTACGAATTTGATGTCAGTTTTTGAAAATACAAAATGGCGGATCTAATATGGCGGACAAAGATTAAGAAATTAATTAAATTTAATTGAAAATGGTTACTTGCGGCCTTTTAAGATTGCTAGTTATGAATATAGGCACAAAACATTAACGTTCTAGGAACGTTTTAATTAATTAAAAAAGTTAATTTTTTATTTTGTAGTCCGCCATATTGGATCCGCGATTTTGAATTTTCAAAAACTGACATCAAATTCATAATCAGCGACCCGAAAAACCCCCGAGTAACAAGTTTTAAGCAAATCCGGTTGAATTTTTATTTTTTCGTCCGCCATATTGGATCCGCCATTTTGAATTTTCCAAAACGGACATCAAATTCGTAATCAGCGACCCTAAAAACAGCGGGATACGAAGTTCTGTTGTAATAAAAAGTTGTTTGATATTCATGACTCAATGAACTATGTTATGAAAACTTTGAACGCGTTTTTCTCGAAAACTCATTTTTCAAACTGGTACAGAGCTTTTCTCGAAATCTACCGAACCGATTTTGAAATCCCAAAAATTTTTCGATTCTTTATTTAAAAAACTGGGGCCTAAACCTCTAAAAACTCATATTTCTACCCCCTGTGTTTTTATATGGAGGTAAATTGACCCAAAAACACGGCGTTTTTGCGAGTTTTTAAGAAAAATGTACATAAAAAATAAAAAAACCTTTAAAAAAAATCGTTTTTGAGGTTTAGGCCCTAGAATAAATCCTTATGAAGAGATTCCCGTTTGGAACTTGAATTTATGTATTACAGGTTGCCCGGAAACTAACGTACCAAAAAAAAGGTATCTTTTGGAAGACGCCACCTACAGCTCTGAAATTGAACTAAATACACTCAAACATATTTTTTAAATTTTCTCTACGCAATGTGCTACAATGTCCAAAAATAGTTTTTACAATTTCTTTAATACTGTTCTTACAATAAAAGTTTTAAAACCTTCCTTTTTTGTCAATTCTAAACCAGAAAGTCCCCTTAAGTTCGCTTTAAGAATTTTTTTTTCATTTGAATGGAAATTCTGTCGCGGGGAAGGAATTCTCTCTCTCGCTCTCTTATTTATATATAAAGATGACATTGGGGGTAAATAAAAATACGAAATTTAGAGGATTTAAATTACATAGTCTAGTGGAGATGAATAAAATCGTATAAAATTTATTTTACCTTCAAAGTATAAGGTCTCATTCCATTTAGGATGTAAGGTTCGCCTTCTCATCTTCGTATCGAGACGATCTTTTTTGTTAGGTAGCAGCGTTACCCTTACATAAGGATCAGACGTGCCGGACAGATCCTTTGCTGGTAGATCTTTACCCTGTAAATCAAATAATTCGATTAAATTTTTCTAAAAGAATACATTGAAGTTCAGTGATGGGAGTTAATTACAAAAAAAGGAAAGAAAAGTAACTTGACCGATAGAACTTACAAAGATGACAAAGAGTAAAACAAAGTTTCAACAAAAATTGAAAAATCTTCCTTCTTCTTCTTTTATATTCTTTCATATGGGTTATTTTTAATTAAGTTTAAGGTGCATGGATTGTTCAAGATAAAAAAAACAGGTTGATAAAGAAACTCTAGACAAAACAGCTTCACATGCATTAAAAATTCCATTTTCGAAATCCGTCATAAGCAGCTTTCGCGGCATGCAATGCTGAATTCTAAAATCTCTCGCAACGTTCAAGACGGCGCGAAAATATTCATTCGCTGCATTCGGAAAACTGTACCTACTTTAGGAAAAAATAATTAGGAAAATATTTTTAGGAAAAATGTTTATTATAGGAATATGCAATTAGGAAAAACGTGGGGGGAACAAATAATTTTTGGTATTATTATTTTTTTTAATATTTCATTTATATGTAAAAAAAGAAAACGAATTTTCGCATTGATAAAAAATTTTTTTCACTAAATTGAATTTTCGATTTTTTTCCTTAAAGTACTACTCTCGAAATTTCGGAAACCGTGGCTAAAAATATTTCTAATCAATTTTTACACTTTTATAACTATTTAAAAAAAAATTTTCTTTTTGTTTTACTATTATTTATATTAAAAATTATTTAATTTCATAAACTTATTATATTCAAAAATATTGCCCAGGTACGGACGATGAAGAGAAGCTACAAGTAGTGATTCAAGCAAATGTATAGTCAGCCCTAACCGCTGACCATCTGATCGCACTTGTAGTAATAAAAACATTATTTGAGGTTCTTATATTAATATTTTATCGACTTTTAAAAAAATTAACATTAAAAAATATTTATCTCTATTATAACATAAATTTGATATAATGAATAAATAAGTGAAGTTCTTATTTTTCAAATTATATATCATCTTGCTCCAATCTCAAAAATTTTTAAGACGTTTGTAATAAATTGAAAGTTGTATAAGACACTTTTAATATCTATAAAAGAAGAAAATAATTTTAAAAATATTGCTTAAAATTTCTTGAAAATATCAATATGACATGAAATCTAACCTTAAGAAACGTTTGAAATGACATTGTGACTAATGAAATTCCATTTAATTCCATTGGCTTAGATGCTCTCATCATTATTAAAATTAAATACTTTTTAGAAATTGCACTTCGACAAGTCCAATCAGTCTCATAAACTATGTCAGCAACACCTCGACTCTTAAATTTTTTTTTATTTATTATAATAATAATATACTGCGCAAAATATATTATTTCTTCACAAATAGTATATTATGCACCAAGAATTGTATGTGCGAATTAGAGTTCAGTGATGGCAACCAACTGCATGAGTGTCATGAAAATATTAACCTTTTCCATCATTTCTTCTCCATAGTAGCAGAATAGAAAAATTTCGAATAAGAAGTTGCTACAGGCTGTTAAAGAAGTCCAAAACTTAAAATTATAAAAGCCTGTTATCGATAATTGATAGAGGACTGCACCCAGAAGTAAAATAGTTAAAAAGAATTGCTGGAAAATCATCAAACTCAGTACATTTTTCAGTTTTGCTCCAATTCTGTTATTAATAGACAATTTAACATCCCACATAGCACGACTTCTTGCTGTGATGTTACTGTAAGAATATCTGTAGGGTTTGTAAGGTTACTGTAAGGTTGCTGTAAGGTTACTGTAAACATAGAATGTTATTAATAAATAAATTTTATTAATATTTATGCGCAGTAGTTTTCTATGGCTCATACGGCTGCGCAGTAAATTTTGTTTAACAAACCCTATCGGGGTTCATGAAATACTTTACCAAATATACAATTTTTTATAAAAAAAAATTTATAATAAAATATATATTATAATATAATTATTTTTAATATATTTTCATATTACTCTATGTTTACAGTAACCCTACAGCAACCTTACAGTAACCTTACGGGAAGCTTCAAACAACCTAACCGTGTAAGCTCACCACAACCTTACCATATAAACTTACTACGACCTTACTGTGTAAGCTTACTGTTATAGCGGAAGTTTTAAGATGACCTCAAGTTTACAGTAGGCTTACACGGTAACCTTACAAACCCTACAGATATCCTTACAGTAACCTCACAGCAAGAAGCCATATTTAAAAAATATGTGTCATATTATTATTATTATATATTATTATTGTATATTATGCAAAGACAAACTTGAATTTTGAAAAATTCGCCAACAGTTTAAAAGTTGAGGATAAAAGACTATGATTACACGGAGAGAATGAGATGGTAAGAGTGACTCTCATGACGCATCACACAGACTATGATATGTCCCCGGCTGAAAAATCTTGTACAATAAAATGTACAAGTTCTTGCACTTGTTCATTAATGAACTTATACATTTTCATGTACATGTCGAGTAATGTTCTTGAACAAGTTCAACATCCGGAATTGAGACATGTTCTTGTACCAGAACTTGTACAAGATCCTGGATAAGAAAACGTACATGTTCTTGTACATATTTTTTTGTGCTGTGTCAGTGTACATTCTCTGGTACCAGATGTGGAACATGTTCTTGTACATGTTCCTTTATGTCTTTTAAATTAAAAACTTTAAAGGCTGCGCAGTAGTTTTCTTAAGCCTTTACAGCTGCGCAATAATTTTTAGCATGCATATGAGGCATTTTACATATAATGTCCTGAGTTAAAAAATTGATTTCTCGAAAAAAAGTGAAACTTGGGGAAATTGTTGTCCTACCTGATAGTAAAATATCCCCAAAAAATTTTTTGACTTTTTTGAAATTTTGGGGGAGATAGAGGGGGGTCAATTTTATCCGTTTTCCCTGACACCGCCTACTATTTAAATTTTTTTCTGTCTATAAATTTAAAAATTTTTGAATTTTGACATTGATTCAGCGTTGCCAGACTTGTCCAGGCTCAAATCGCAAGTACTGCGCACAAAGTCGCAACACTTTCAAATCGCCCAAAGTCGCCGCGTTTTTTGAAAATATGTTTCGTAAATCATTGATTTAAAAAAATTTTAGATTAAAAATAATTATTATTTAAGTTAAGTTATTAAGTAAATAAACTACATATCAATTTTTTTAAGAATAAAATATAATTTAATTAAAATAAACTTTTTTAAATGAATTTTTTACAGAACAACTTATTTACATTTTACAAAAGAAGCAATATTTTCTTTTTAGAAGAAAATTATTTTCTCTAAATATTTTCTTCATCATCGTCACCAACAGCAAACAATTCTAGGGTCTCAAAACACGAAAGTTCTTCTTTATTGTCATTGTCTCGAGAAGTACGAGCCTCGTTCAGTGCAACGTACATTTGGGACGTAAAGAGTTCAAACATCCTTGCACTTGGTTCAAAAGTGTTGCAGCACTCTTTTATGGTCCCAAATCTTAATCGGATTCGCATGATGGCCGTCAATAAAACAACTGAAAGCTTGTTTCTCGCTTTCGTTTTGACAGTGTTCATAATGCTGAATACACGTTCTACTGACGCATTAGAAAATGGAAGGCAGAGAATTCTCAATGCAAACAAAGCTAAATTTAAAAACACAGATTGCCCAGACGAATCTTTAAAATCCAAAACTCCACTCCAAAATTCAATGGAATTGTCCGGAATTTTTCCATTAAAATGGTTTCGCAAATTGACTAAAATCAGTTGATCCCATTGAGTCTTCAGACAATCGATGTCATCGTTAGGATCTACAAAAGAATTTTCCTCAATTAAAATTTATTGCTATATTTATAAATTCCAATTTTTATTAAATTTTTGTTATATAAATATTTACCAGCTAATTCGAATGGCAACTTGGAAAAATCAACCCTATTAACGGGCTTCAAACTTTCTTCCGGTGTGAAGTACCGAATATTTTCGAAAAGGTGCATGTTGTTTGGTAAACGGTTAACAAGCTCCATGCACAAAACCGACAAATAATTCAAACACCGCTGTTTGACTTCTCTCACTCTTTCAACAGGCAAATTAATCCTTCCAAGATGAATAGCGAATGAGGCACCAAAATCAATATTATCTAATGACAAGTAAGCATAGTGATCATTTAACGCTCTCTTAAGTTCCTGAAAATCTGCTTCCGATAAAAATTGACCATCTTGATTCACTCTTATATGAGTTGGTTTAATAAACCGTTTTACAAAAGAAACCAGAAGCACACGTAAGTCAACGAAAAGTTTAGTAACCTGAAAAGGACAAAAAAACATAATTTTTCGATTAATTTCGGCTTTAAAAGGAAAGTATACCTATTAATTGTAAAATATTTCACCTCTGTTGAATCTTGTTGAAATTTCAAATTGGTTTTGCAGAGTTCAGCTGTTACTGGTTTCAAGAACAGTAAATACAAAAGGTTACATTCATCATGATAAAGATCACGAAGCTTTCTACCAATTGTGCATTTTTCGCTAAGATTCAAACTGCGAACGTGATTATCAAAGTGAGTTTTTAATTCCAGCCACTGAGAAACGATAACAGCAACAGCTCTACCCCACGCCAACCATCTTGTTGCAGACAATTGCACTAAATTTTTAGGCATATCACCATCATTGATGACCGCATACAAGGCCTCGTATTGTGATCGCCTTAAAGCGCTTTTGGAGAACCAATTTCGAGATTCTCGAACTAAAAATTCTAAATCAGCTGGCAACTGCTCTGAAGCTTTTGATCCACAAAGGTGCATAGAATGACAAGTACATCTAATCAATTGCGATCTTGGCACCAATTCATTAAAAAATACAAAAAATCCTTTCTCACTGCCGGTCATGTTTGATGCGTTGTCGCTTCCAATTCCAATGCAATTTTCCACGTTTAATCCTATTTTTTTAAAAAACTCAATTGTGCTGTTGAAAAGAATTTTCCCTGTCGCCTTTTCTACTTCTACAATTCCGAGGAA